TTCCTGCTCTGATACCATATGTGTGTCCACAATCACTGATCAATCTTCATAATCTTCATAACAATCATGGCAGATTCATAGATATTGCATTAAGAACACTATGAACATTGAGAGAAAAAGTCAACTCATATAATCTCAGTCAAACTCTCTTATTAATCTGAATATTACAATTAGCTCTTCTCTCTCCTAATTACAAAGATTAAACCATATTTATATGGTCAACCTAACTAACAAAGTCAAAGTCAAACTAGTCTAAGAAAGTCAAACACGCTGACTTTACAATTATAGACTAAAATTAATCTTTCAAGACGAATACAATTAATACTGATTTTTCAGTCCTAACACACCACATAGAGATATGGGTGAAAAGCTATAATATAGTGCAATGGTGAAGTCCGAGAGGAATGTCTTCAAAATAGATGGTGGAACTTAGTTTCGAAACACTGCTTGCTATAGCATTCCTATAGCATTGGCTGCTGGAATTTGTGTTTGGGTCTCACCTTAAGTCTTACACATTTGCTTCTTTTTTATATTTTGTATTCTGTTTAATTCACCTTACAATCAAACAAAAGTCTTCAAAATCGTCATATGAAATCATCTCTTTCATTGGACTCTCATTTAACTTTGGCTACAATCTTCGTGGACGATAATCCGGTACTTGTACCACTTTATTACTTGGAAAGACGACATTGGGCCGTATTGTATACTTGCTTTGTGGCCTAATTTCATTAAGTCTAAATGTGTGAAATATAACCGACTATAATTCAATTTAGATTTAATAACAAAACAAATTATTTTTGGTTTAATAATATAATTTTTTTTATAAAGATAATAATTAAACATTCTGTTAGAACTCAATGATTATCTTAATTACATTTTAGATTTTCTAAATTTAAAATGAATGTTTATCTACAGTTAATTATACGAATTTAAAAATGGAGTTTTAATAAGTTGTACTTGCACAAAATTACTTGTAATATTGAATTGTAAGTAATATACATCAATAAACAGTACTTCGTGCATAAAAAATCGTTTTTAAGGGTTTTTGTCAAATGTTTTATAATATAGTATAGATATGGTGTATATATATATATATATATATATATATATATATAAACAGTACTTCGTGCATAAAAAATCGTTTTTAAGAGTTTTTGTCAAATGTTTTATAATATAGTATAGATATGGTACATATATATATATATGTGTGTATATATATATATATATATATATACTAGAAGGGTACTCGCGCAATGCAGCGAGATACATCTTGATTTTAATATTTCATTTTATTCTTTATTTCAGTCGATGTTATAGTATGGTCTTATGTGATTTTGAGAAAACGACGATGTTTATATTTTTGAATAAAATATAAGTTTGAAGATATTATAAAAATTTGACAAAAATATATCGATATTAGTATCAAATTAACTATTTAAAATTTATCATTTTTTGTGTAATTTTTTAATTCAATTTTTTTATAATTTAATTTGAGTACAATAACGAAGTAATTTATATTTGGTTTAATAATATAATTTTCTTATAAAAATAATCTATACTATATTATAAAGCATTTGGCTAAAACTCTTAAAAACTCTTAAAACTCTTAAAAACTCTTAAAACTCTTAAACTAGATTTCATCCCTATCCGATTTCATCCCATAT